GTTGAGGCCTTAAACTGGTGAAACCTCCTGCTGAGCTCTGTGGAAATGACATAGCGGCTTTATACACATCAGCATCCTATAAGGTTAGATGTTCTTCGCCTGCTGCAATGTCAGGGAGGTCAATGTTGGTACTGGGAGCCCTGGGTGGATGTTTGTCCTTCAGAGCTTGCGCTGTGCTGACGTCCTTGGGAGCGATGATATTCTCACTGGTTATAAGCCTCAGAGCTCCAATAGTATTACCCTCTTCTATTTTTTTGCTAATTTGGGCTTTGATTTTTGAGGCGTCGGGTGTCCTGTTGGCATTTGTCCGGCAGGTGTTTGTCGCCCTAGGGGGAGACGGACGAGGTTGTCATCCCTTGGGAATGTATTTATTGCTCTAATAATGTGTTGCTAGTGACTTGTCCCTCCTTGGTGAGACAACCAAACAGGCATTGCCAAAAAGCAGCAGGTTGTGCCAGGATCTGTTGTTTGAAGGAGCATCGTTGACTTTCTTCAGAAGGTCAGTGAATTTGCTAGCAGCTTGAGGGCGAGCTGCTTTGGGAGTGTGTCAGAGTCCTGGTGGATGTTAACTTGATTGCAGATTTGAGGTCTTATGTAGAGGTGAAGTCATGGTAGCTGTTGGTTCTCATTTGGAGCTCTCCTGGAGCCTACACATCCATTGTGTGCACGGATGTTGCCAGTTGAGGGACTGAGTGCACATTCCCTGTAGCACACCCGGCAGATGCCTCATAAACGACAGCTTTGGCTCTGTCATGAAGATTCCTGGGAACCCACGACTATTTGTGACATTGCTGATATCGTGGGGGTGGGAGGGTGCCAGCTGTGGGGTGATGGGTGAAGGACAGCATGGATGCATGGGGGATGAGGGTGGGGGAGTAGCGAGTGACAGAACTTGTAATTGGTGGGACACTAAACGGCAACACCCTTGGTCAGGAAATCAGTGGGCCTAGGCTGGGATTAGGGGAGGGGATCAGGGGTGGGGGGCAGAGGGAGTGGCCCTGTGTGTTCGCTAAAGATGCACATCACTGACTAACCTTTGCTAATTGTTATACACTTATTATTCAATTTAGAAAAAACTTCGCCATTTGGCACACTAATCACCATGCTCTCACTATTAACCGAGGTGTTCTCCTGTTCAACTTCCAATGACAGTGTCGTGAGCGGCCACTTCCTCCCCCAACCTCAGACCCCGGCCGGACACACAGGCAAACAACACCACTGGCAGGATCGCCTCACCACCGATACTCCCCAAATCCCAACATGCACCCTGCACTTTCACTGATACAGAAGCAACGATCTGATGCAGGGAATTGTCACAACTCTGTAATCTCTGGTGGATACTCACGATAATGTCTGCCGAAACTGGCCCATGTAAGCCATGGCTCCCTCCCTCCACGCTGACAAGTATATATATATATATATATATATATATATATATATATATATATATATGTCGTGCCGAATATGTAAAACTGGTCAATTAGCAAGAACTCATTTAAAATTAAGTCCTTTCCAAAGTTTTCTCTTATACGTTTAAAGATATATTTTTTTCATTAATGTTCATGCAAAAATTTTTAATTTTGCACCAAAAGAATCTTAGAAAACTTACCTAACCTTATTATAACAAGAACAATTTATTTTAGCCTAACCCAACTAAATATATTTTAGATTTGTTTACACCAGGCTCTGGTGGCCTGGTGGTTAACGCTCTCGCTTCACACGGTGAGGGCCTGGGTTCGATTCCCAGCCAGAGTAGAAACATTGGACGTGTTTCTTTCCACCTGTTGTCTATGTTCCCCATCAGTAAAATGGGTACCTGGGTGTTAGTCGACTGGTGTGGGTCGCATCCTGGGACACTGACCTAAGGAGGCCTGGTCACAGACCGGGCCGCGGGGGCGTTGACCCCCGGAACTCTCTCCAGGTAAACTCTCCAGGTAAACAGTAATTTAATACTAAGCAAACACAGTGAAATATATTTTTTTCGTTAGGTTCAGAATGATTTTGGCGAAATTACTGCATATACAAATTTTCACTTGTCCTATATGGCAAGATGAACGTTGCTATTTAAGCCAAGATCGCAAATTCTGCCTATTCGGCACGACATATATATATATATATATATATATAATATATATATATATATATATATATATATATATATATATATATATATATATATATATATATATATATACATGTATACCCAGGCTGGGAAAGAAACATGGCTTGTGAACCAGGCTGCTCAGTTTGTGTGGCATTTGTGGCCGAGTGGCTAAGAGTGAGTCCTGCTCACTGTGATTCTCTCTCTATCTCTATCTCACCTCTCTCTCTCTCTCTCTCTCTCTCTCTCTCTACCTGGAGGTTATTCCGGCGATCAACGCCCCCGCGGCCCGGTCCATGACCAGGTTTCCCAGTGGATCAGGGCCTGATCAACCAGGCTGTTACTGCTGGCCACACACAGTCCAACGTATGAACCACAGCCCGGCTGATCTGGCACTGACTTTAGGTATCTGTCCAGCTCTTGAAGGCAGCCAGAGGTTTATTGGTAATTCCCCTTATGCTTGATGGGAGGCTGTTGAACAGTCTTGGGCCCCAGACACTTATGGTGTTTTCTCTTAGTGTACCACTGGCGCCCCTACTTTTCATTGGGGGCATTTTGCATCGCCTGCCCAGTCTTTTACTTTCGTAGGGAGTGATTTCTGTGTGCAGATTTGGGACCATTCCTTCCAAGATTATGATATATCTCTCCCTCCTGCGTTCCAACGAGTACAAGTCAAGTGCTTCCAAGCGTTCCCAGTAGTTAAGGTGCTTGACAGAACTTATACGTGCAGTAAAGGATCTCTGTACACTCTCTAGATCTGCGATTTCACCTGCTTTGAATGGAGATGTTAATGTACAGCAGTATTCTAGCCTAGAGAGAACAAGTGATTTGAAAAGAATCATCATTGGCTTGGCATCTCTCGTTTTGAACGTTCTCATTATCCATCCTATCATTTTCTTTGCACGTGCGATCGTGGCACTGTTGTGATCCTTGAAAGTGAGATCCTCAGACATTATTACTCCCAGGTCCCTTACATTATTTTTCTGCTCTATTGTATGGCCAGAGTCTGTAGTATACTCTGTTCTAGTTATTATCTCCTCCAGTTTTCCATAACGGAGTAGTTGGAATTTGTCCTCATTGAACATCATATTGTTTACCGTTGCCTACTGGAAAACTTTGTTTATATCTTCTTGGAGGTTAACCGCGTCCTCAGCAGCCTCATGCAGATCCTAGTATCATCCGCAAAGGATGATACGGTGCTGTGGTGTATATCTCTGTCTATGTCTGATATGAGGATAAGGAATAAGATGGGGGCGAGTACTGTGCCTTGTGGAACAGAGCTCTTCACTATGGCAGCCTCCGATTTAACTCTGTTGACCACTACTCTTTGTGTTCGATTTGTTAGGAAGTTGAAGATCCATCTCCCCACGTTCCCAGTTATTCCTTTAGCACGTATTTTATGGGCTATTACACCATGATCGCATTTGTCAAGTGCTTTTGCAAAGTCTGTGTATATTACATCTGCATTCTGATTTTCTTCCAGTGCATCCAAGGCCATATCATAGTGATCCAGTAGTTGTGAGAGGCAGGAGCGACCTGCCCTGAACCCATGTTGCCCTGGATTGTGCAGATTTTAGGAATCCAGGTGATTTGCAATCCTGCTTCTTAGCACTCTTTCAAAGATTTTTATGATGTGAGACGTCAGAGCTATTGGTCTATAGTTCTTAGCTAATGCTCTGCTGCCACCTTTATGGAGTGGGGCTATATCCGTTGTTTTAAGTGACTGTGGAATTTCACCCGTGTCCAAGCTCCTCCTTAGGGCACGCGAGAGGGGTTTCTTGCAGTTCTTAATGAAAACAGAGTTCCACGAGTCTGGGCCCGGGGCTGAGTGCATGGGCATGTTGTGAATGGCTTTTTCGAAATCTATCGTAGTTAGGGTAATGTCGGAAATCTGGCATACATTTATGGAGTTTTGAGGCTCATTCATGAAGAAATCATTTGGGTCGTCGATCCTCAGACCGATTAGTGGTTCACTAAACACAGTCGTAGTGGCAAGGTTTAAGGTGAATCAATATGGCTATGTCACCAGCAAACGGCTCATCTTGATATATTCTAGACTAAGTTGCTGACTCCTGACACATTCAGCAGCTACACTAGTCAACGTTAACGCCACAAGAACGAAGCTGAGGTATCTATATGAGAGGTGGAGTAATGGTTAAAAATAGAAGAAACTGCATTACCAAATAACATACGAATAACATTCAAGCAAAAATACTGAAAGGAAAGAAAGGAAGCAATGAATAAAACTGACGATAGATAAAAAAACTAAATTTGTTTGTATGTAAGTAAATTACAAGAAGTAATGACTTTCTGCATGACTCATGAAACACAACATAATTGCAAAGGGTTTAATTGGAAAGGGTTTAGTTTGAACACTGGCCAGTGCGTAAACCACTCTGCCAGTGGGCTCTAATAAGAGTCATCTAATTATGTATAATTCTATACACCATGGGGACATTAACAAGGACCACCACTGTGACCACAAATGCAGATTTTTACAGAATACCACACTATCGTTTCTGTAACATACTCCAGCTCAAGTCCCCTCAAAGCCACAATCATGACTCATGAAATCATAATAACTCGGCCAGCTAGCCCAGTGCTTAACACACTGGCCAGTGAGTCTGAGGACTCACTATGGCTTCAAACCCCACCTGTCCCATGATTTGACTTTCTCCATTATATTTAAAAAAAAAAAACTTCTTACTGGATAAATACGGCAGAAGGAAAGGAGATGGCGTGCCAGCAACCCATAAGATCAATAAACGACTCAAATTCTACAACCCTTCTTAATTCCACGAGAAATTCCACTAATCTTTTGTCACCATCCTTGGCACCCTTGATGACAGTTCGCCACGATTTCAGGAGGAATTAAAAAAAAAAAGTACACTTTACTAACCTCTTATCACCATTCTTGGCACCCTGGCTGACAGCTCGGGACTGCTTGTTCACCTCCACCCCACCGACGAAGAGGTAACCCGAGAGGTCGAAAAACTTATTCTCGCCTACGTGGGTTGGCTGGTCTTCAATGTGGTCATCGACGCTCAGCTCCATGTAGGCCGGCTTGAAGTGAGCCTCTACCTTATGCCACACTCCGTCGCTGATGTAGATGGAACTGAGGGAGAGATGGAGGGAAGGAAGTAGTCAGTGAAGGAACTGTTGAGAGAAAATGAGAATACTCATCTGAATATTGGTGCAGGAGTCGAGTCTAGGCTCGCTTGTGCGTGTGTAGGTGTGTGTACGTATGTGTACGTGTGTGTGTGTGTATGTATGTGTGTGTGTGTGTGTGTGTATGTGTGTATGTGTGTATGTGTGTGTGTATGTGTGTGTGTGTATGTGTATGTGTGTACTCACCTAAATGAGGTTGCAGGGGTCAAGACTCAGCTCCTGACCCCAAGTGTGTGTGTGTGTGTGTGTGTGTGTACTCACCTAATTGTACTCATCTAATTGTGGTTGCAGGGGTCGAGACTCAGCTCCTGGCCCCGCCTCTTCACTGATCGCTACTGGATCCTCTCTCTCTCTGCTTCCTGAGCTTTGTCATACCTCTTCTTAAAACTATGTATGGTTCCTGCCTCCACTACTTCACTTGCTAGGCTATTCCACTTGCTGACAACTCTATGACTGAAGAAATACTTCCTAACGTCCCTGTGACTCGTCTGAGTCTTCAGCTTCCAGTTGTGACCCCTTGTCCCTGTGTCCCCTCTCTGGAACATCCTATCTCTGTCCACCTTGTCTATTCCCCGCAGTATCTTGTATGTCGTTATCATGTCTCCCCTGACCCTTCTGTCCTCCAGTGTCGTCAGTCCGATTTCCCTTAACCTTTCCTCGTACGACATTCCCTTGAGCTCTGGGACTAGCCTTGTTGCAAACCTTTGTACTTTCTCTAACTTCTTGACGTGCTTGACCAGGTGTGGGTTCCAGACTGGTGCTGCATACTCCAGTATGGGTCTAACATACACAGTGTACAGTGTCTTGAACGATTCCTTATTAAGGTATCGGAACGCTATTCTCAGGTTTGCCAGGCGCCCGTATGCTGCCCGTATGTGTGTGTGTGCGTGTGTGTGTGTATGTGTGTGTGTGTGTGTGTGTGTGTGTGTGTGTGTGTGTGCGTGTGTGTGTGTGTGTGTGTGTGTGTGTGTGTGTGTGTGTGTGCGCGTACGTACGTATGCACTCAAGTATTTGTAGTTACACGGGTAGATATAAGGTATAATATTTGTCAGGAAAGAAGACAAGAGTTTCCTGACGCGGCTCTTAGTCATATTATGACCCACAGCTAAAATATGTCAATGGTATACAATATTGACTAGTTGATAAGTAAGACACATGTGCAACAGTTAAGTATCTTTATTCCGAAACGTTTCGCCTACACAGATGGCTTCTTCAGTTGAATACAGAAGAGTCTACAGAAGCACAAGAGATGTGAAGACGATGTAATCAGACACACAGGCAACATTTAGGCAACTTTATTTTGAAACGCTTCGCCTACAGCCCTACACAGTAGGCTTCTTCAGTCGAGTACAGAAAGTAGGCAGGAGCAGTAGAGATGTGAAGACGATGTAATCAGTCCATCACCCTTGAAGTCGTAGATTTGAGGTTGTCAGTCCCTCAGCCTGGAGAAGTTCTGTTTCAAAGTCTGGAACTAACTGAAGATCAAGCGACAGTGTTGAGACTTAAATACTGTCGGAAGTAGAGGTGCAGAGTAGTAGTAGTAGTGAGAATGTTGCCACTGGGAGGTCATGTCCCTCTCGGATCAAATAATTCTCACTTGAAAAAGTTGCCCAAGGTGTTTTCTCTTCTGTACCAAGATGCCATTGTGTTGCAGTGTCTGACAGAGTGATTATCAAACGGTATACAATACCGACAGGTTGGTATACAGAAGAGAAAACACCTTGGACAACTTTTTCTAGTGAGAATTGCTTGATCTGAGAGGGACATGACCTCTCCGTGGCTACTTTCTCACTACTACTACTACTACTCTGTACCTCTCCTTCCGACAGTATTTAAGTCTCAACACTGTCTCTTGATCTTCAGTTAGTTCCAGACTTTGAAACAGAACTTCTCCAGGCTGAGGGACTGACAACCTCAAATCTACGACTTCAAGGGTGATGGAATGATTACATCGTCTTCACATCTCTACTGCTCCTGCCTACTTTCTGTACTCGACTAAAGAAGCCTACTGTGTAGGCGAAACGTTTCAGAATAAAGTTGCCTAAATGTTGCCTATGTGTCTTATCTACCAACCTGTCGGTATTGTATACCATTTGATAATCACGATGTGATCAGTACATCACCCTCTAAGACGCAGTTTTGAGGTGTTTCATAGTCTGGAACAATGTGAAGCCGAAGCAACAGTTGCACGTGTGTCTTATAAACATATCGGTATTGTATACCATTTTTATATTTACTCTGTCAGATGCTGCAACACAACGGTATCTTGGTACAGAAAATACCTTCTACAACTTTTTCAATGACAATGGATGGATCTGAGAGGGATCTGCCCTCTCATTGATTACATTTTTAATCTACTAGTGGGATGCTTCTCACTTTTGGCTATATAAGTCTCCAAACTGTTGCTTTTACATCGCATTGTTCTAAACTATGTAGCAAAGCTATTTATTCTCCAGGTCGAGGGACTGACCACCTCAAAACTAGGTCTTCAGGATAGACTGATTACATCTTCATCTCTATTGCTCCTGCTAACTCGTCTGTACTCGACCGAAGAAACCTACTGTGTAGGAGAAACGTTTCGGAATAAAGATACCTAACTGTTGCACATGTGTCTTACTTATGAACCCACAGCTAGAAGTTTTGGTTATCTGACCGAGGACTTCCGCTGGCTTACCGGTTCACCTCTTTAAAAATCATGACGATGATTATAACCATTAAGTGTGTGCAGGGGTCGAATCACAGCCCCTGAACTTTTCGCTGGTCGCTAATAAATCCACTCTCTCCAGGCTCCAAGTGCTTTATCGTACCTCTTCTTAAAACTACGTATATATCCTGCCTCTGTTACTTCACTCTCCAGATGGTTCCACTTCCAGACAACTCTAAGGCTGAATAAATACTTCCTAACATCCCAGTGACTTATCTGAGTTATTAACTTCCAGTAATGTTCCCTTGTTCCTGTGTCCCATCCCTGACCACCTTGTCAATTCCTATCAGTATTGAACATCAAAGTGGTATACAATACCGACAGGTTGTTAGGTAAGACACATATGCAACAGTTAGACAACTTTATTCCGAAACGATTCGCCTACACAGTAGGCTTCTTCAGTCGAATACAGAAAGTAGGCAGGAACAGTAGAGATGTGAAGACGATGTAATCAGTCCATCACCCTTAAAGTCGTAGAATTTGAGGTTGTCAGTCCCTCGGCCTGGAGAAGTTCAGTTCCATAGTCAGGAACTATCTGAAGATCAAGCGACAGTGCGGAGACTTAAATACTGTCGGAAGGAGAGGTGCAGGGTAGTAGTAGTAGTAGTAGTAGTAGTAGTAGTAGTAGTAGTAGTAGTAGTAGTAGTAGTAGTAGTAGTAGTAGTAGTAAGAGGCCACTGAGAGGTCATGTCCCTCTCACTTGAAAAGCTTTTCCAAGGTGTTTTCTGTACAAGATGCCACGTGTTGCAGTGTCTGACAAGATGAACATCAAAATGGTATACAATACCGACAGGTTGTTAGGTAAGACACATATGCAACAGTTAGACAACTTTATTCCGAAACGTTGCATATGTGTCTTACCTAACATCCTATCAGTATTTTATAAGTTGTTATCAAGTCCCCGCTATCCCTCCTGTCTTCCAATGTCATCATGTTGGGGTCCCTAAACCTTTCCTCGCAGGACATACTTCTTAGGTCTGGAACTAGTCTTGTTGCAAACTTTTGCACTTATTCCAGTTTCTTGACGTGTTTGAGCAGATGTGGGTTCCATACTGGTGCTACATTCTTCAATATGGAGCAGATGTACACGGTGTACAGTGTTTTAAATGACTCCTTACGTAGATGTCAACACGCTATTCTTAGGTTTGCCATGCGCCCATATGCGTGTTTACGTGTTCATGTGTGTGTTAGTTAGTTACCATTTTGTCCTAGGAACATGTCGATTAGACACTAGGCCTGTTGTGTGAGATTGTGTGTATAGTATGTGTGTGTGTGTACTCACCTATTTGTGGTTGCAGGGGTCGAGTCACAGTTCGTGGCCCCGCCTCTTCGCTGATTGCTACTAGGTCCTCTCTCTCCCTACCCCATGAGCTGTATCATACCTCGCCTTAAAACTATGTATGGTTCCCGCCTCCAGTACGTCACTTTCTAGGCTATTCCACGGCCTGACTACTCTATGACTGAAGAAATGCTTCCTAACATCCCTTTGAATCATCTGAGTCTTCAACTTCCAATTGTGACCTCTTGTGTCTGTGTCCCTTCTCTGGAACATCCCGTTTTTGTCCACCTTGTCTATTCCGCGCAGTATTTTATATGTCGTTATCATGTCTCCCCTGACCCTCCTGTCCTCCAGTGTCGTCAGGCCGATTTCCCTCAACCTTTCTTCGTAGGACAATCCCCGTAGCTCTGGGACTAGTCTTGTTGCAAACCTTTGCACTTTCTCTAATTTCTTGACGTGATTGACTAGGTGTGGGTTCCAAACTGGTGCTGCATACTCCAGTATGGGCCTGACGTAAATGGTATACAGAGTCTTAAACGAATCCTAACTGAGGTATCGGAACGCTATCCGTAGGTTTGCAAGGCGCCCGTATGCTGCAGCAGTTATCTGATTGATGTGCGCCTCAGGAGATATGCTCGGTGTTATACTCACCCCGAGATATTTTTCCTTGAGTGAGGTTTGCAGTCTTTGGCCATCTAAACTATATTGTGTCTGCGGTCTTCTTTCCCCTTCCCCAATCTTCATGACCTTGCATTTGGCAGGGTTAAATTCAAGGAGCCAGTTGCTGGACCAGGCTTGTAGCCTGTCCAGGTCTCTTTGTAGTCCTGCCTGATCCTCATCCGATTTGATTCTTCTCATTAACTTCGCATCATCTGCAAACAAGGACACTTCTGAGTCTATCCCTTCCGTTATGTCGTTCACATATACCAAGAACAGCACAGGTCCTAGGACTGACCCCTGTGGA